TGTTGATCCAGTGACTTCCATCCACAGGGAACACCAAGACTTTCCCTCCATTTACCAACAATGTAGAGCATAGCAGCACTGCAAGTGCCAGCAAGCTTGGATGGCACATCTCTGAAAGAGATTCTGACAGAGATGTCAAGATGTTAAATATCTCCTTCTGTTTAGTAAGGGCCTTGAGTTTAAGGGTTTCTATGAACCTAAAAACAAAGAAAAATAATTAAAAAAATTCCTTCCTGCATACACACTGGAAGATATTGGCAGTGATGTAGTGACTCCAGATCAAGAAATGACAATGGATTTCTGCAACTTGCAATGATGACAACCAAAACGTAAGTTATGAATGTTTAAGAACACATTAGATGCTATCTAGTGATTCTTATTAAACATAAGAATGACAGTTAAATCCAAGAGGCCAATTTATTTTCCTGATTAGAAGTCGGGATGTATTTCACACCCTGGAGGACGGGGCTGTGGCCCCCCCACACTCCCTAGCAGATCGTTACATGGAGAAACCTTTGGAATACAAGCGCGCTGATCCACACAGGTATGCACACGGGTGTTCACTGCTCGTAGACCCAAATTACACCTTTCTTGGCTGCTACTTCGAAGCACATCTGTCCTGCGTGCTGCACAACAACATTGAATATTTAGTATTTACTGCTGTTTACACTTAGCTAGATTAATGCGATGGTGTTGTGTTTAGTATGTTGCTTTGTTTTTGGTTTTTTTTTCTTTTTTTTTTGCTTGTTTTCTATTCTTCTCTCAACAGGTGATCCAGGAGATTTTAATTTTTTTTCTCCCCCCCTTTCTCACTGTCCCTCTCCCCTTTTGTTTTTCCTTTCCTTCCTCTTTCTCTCTCCCTTTCCTATCTCTCACTCATGTCTGTCCCGTCGGTAACATCTGAAAATAAAATATAATAAATAATAAAAACAAAGATCGACCAAATGGACCAATACGGCAATGCCACGATGATCCATTTGGAAAAGTAAATCCATTGGGCATCCTTGTTGGTCTTCAGACAACAATTCTGATGGCTAAAGAACCAAATGGGACAGGCGAGAAAAAAAAAAGAAAAGAAAAAAAGAAGACGGGATGTATTTAAAAAGCTAACTTCTGAGCCTTGTAATTTCACTTTGGGAATGTGGCATTGTAAAATACTTTGGTATTTTATAATGTACATCATTAGTGATCTAGATTACTAATCTGAGTAAATAATATAACTCAGTCATTTCAGTTTATGTTTGACAGCAAAGGTTGCCATATAGCTAAAACCACCCTTGTTCACACCACCACCAGTCTTTCTACAAAAGATTTCCAGTTGTTTTTCACTAAGCTGAGGCACCCCACTTTAATACTTGCATAGCTTCCAGATTTTCTGCAGCTCACTGGTTAAACTGCAGTGTGAAAATTCCTGCCTCTAAATCTCAGGAGGTTTAAAAGCAGGCAACAAAGCTGTTTTTTGTTCCCTGTTTCACAGCTGCCAGCATTAGTGGGTATGAAATTATAAAGCAATTATAAAGCAACAATTATAAATATTGTAAAAGCTGCCATTGTTTAATGTTAAATGGTAAATGGACTGTATTTGTATAGTGCTTTACTTGGTCTCTAAGGACCCCAAAGCACTTTACACTACATCCAGTCATCCACCCATTCACCCACACATTCACACACTGGTGATGGCAGCTACATTGTAGCCACAGCTGCCCTTGGGCGCACTGACAGAGGCGAGGCTGCCGGACACTGGCGCCACCCGGCCCTCTGACCACCACCAGTCAAAAGACCTTTTGTGCTTGCAAGACTTAACATTTTTTCCTTAGTTCCGAATTTAAAATAATCAAAACAAAACTGTATAAGAAAAATCTTTCTGTTTTGCATCAAAAAAGTAACTCCATGTTCTCTCTGTATTTAATTTGAGAAAGTCTGAACTTGTGTGACCTTTGAAGCTTCCTTCTTTTTTTCAAAAGAAAACAATTTTCCAAGCTGAAATGTATCCGATTCCAAAACAATTCATTCTTTTTCTTGCTTTTGTTCCTTGTGATCAGAACAAACTATGACTGTGAAGGAGGATAGTTTATATAGTGAGATTCCTCCATGCAATCATAAAGCTCAGCCTTGCTATTGTTGAGAGGAGACATCTGGGAAATATTCTGTTCCTCTGTGAGAATCCATATGCTACTACTTAGCTGGTCGGTCATGCATATTTCAGAACAGAACTCGCAGCGTAACTACACAAAGAAATGCTCTAAAACAGCATTAAAGGTATTTGGGGTTTACATTAAAATGCCATTTTATCTTCTAAAACTTTTGCTGATCTTGGGTTTTTTATCTAAATAAGTACTTACCTAGAGCGTCCCTGTAAAAAGATCTCACGTTTCAACCAGAGCCTGTTGTTTGTGTGTCCAGCCTGCTTCACCGGTCTCTGAGTGAATGACTGCCGTCGGGCTCTGACGAGCAAAACACCTCTGACCGCATTGGCTCTAAGGTAGCAGGAGTAAGGTTCAGAGCCTTTTGTAGTTTTCAGCAGCAAGGTTGGTTGTATAAGGGAAAACTGGATCAAATGTCGTGAACTCTGATCTATAGACGTAGTAGATAATACTGTTGCTACAGGTTACTATAGACAAAGACAAGTGTATCTGAAATGAATGAATGGTTTTGGGTGAAGACATTTGAGGATAAAATGGAAGTAATTGAAAAATTGAAGGCAACATAGAAATAAAATGTTGTAATTGAGTGTGATGTAAGTAGAAGGTTATTGGCGTGCATTAATCAAACAGTGTGTTCAAATAGTGAGTTCATCTACATGAACTTCATTACCTCGCCCTCTGACTTAAAAAAGTGAACGTGTTGTTTCACAAGACAAATAAATTGCACATTAAAACAAATAGCAGGCCATGAGCTAATGATCAGGAAAAAAAACATTAACAAGAAAAAATTCCCAAGTAAAGCTGCAATAGAGTTCGAAAGAGTTAATGCAAGTCTTCTAAAGATACATTATACTGTAGGTGTGTCCTATTAATTGATTAATTAATTAAATGATTCACATGATTCTACTGGATGTCCTCACACGGTAGATTAATTGCATTCAGAGACAACAATTAATGATAAAAAGGAATCTACATTTCTGTTTATTAAAAAAACAAATTGAGCAGCGCCGCTTGATATTAACTGACATGACTGAGTGAAGTCAAAGAAACCAAAGACGGTGAATAAACTAAATGACATTAAAGTTTGTAAGTAAAGATTTAAATCGGGGAGAGAAATATCATGGCACCAGTAAACTCAGTCTAGACAATAATGAAGGCAGAAATAAACTGACAGAAAGGAAGTGAAAATGCAGAAAGCAAAAAAGAAATTGTCCTTCAAAATAAAGCAGGAAGTAAACTAAAAAAGGGAAACACCAAGACACAGACTAAGGTGAAAATAAGAGGCGCACAAAGTTTAACATTAATTAACTATGAGTCAACCCAAAAGCCATGATGGTATAATATTCCTCTCTGCCTTAGAGCCCTAAAATAATTGTCCAAAACCATTAACCACAGTGATCAGCTATACTGATGATATTTCTATCAGTATATTTCATTGTCATGGGTTCATTAGTCTATAATAATCATCCACATAGAATGTGGCACTTCCTCTTATTATGTATCTCAAGTAGTGTCTGAAATGTATATATTTATTCTGCTTTATTTGGATAAATATTTGTAAACATCTTTTTCCTAATTTTCTTCTTCTTCAGCCGCCACATCCAGAACTCCATCCAGCAGCCGGACTCCCACTGTGACTCCGTCCCTGCCAAGGCGCTCGGACACCGTCCAACCTCTGCCCTCTCCCAGCAGCACTCTACAGAGACAGCATCTTGACAGACCCCAACCTCACCACACCCAGGTCTCTCCCTCCTCTCATGCAGACGGGAGCTGCTACACAGAGCTGTACCCTGGTCCTCAGAGCTATGTGGAGAGGCTGCAGGCAGAAGAGGGGTCAGCGGGGGTCGACCCACTGAGGGCCGAGGATGGGAATGTGTACTTTTCGCCTGTGGTGGAGACGGTCTCCTGTTTCAAACCCAGCAGGTACCAGTCACCACTGATGGGAAAAGAGAATAAGCCTCTAGAAGTGGGCGTCCTGCGGAGGGTGAAGGAGCTTCTGGTGGAGGTCGATCCCAGGACAATGGCCAAACACATCACCAAGGCTGACTGCATGGTACTGTTTATAGCTGCTCTAATCAATATTTGTAAAGTAATAGGGATTTTTTTTAAGGATGGACTGCAGCTCTGCAGAAAGGTTTAGGGATTTCTTTATTTTAGTCTGAATGCAGTGGCAACTATGCAGAAGGAAAACTAGGGCTAGCCATGCGTTAGTGATAACAGGTAAACTATGGGGTATTTGTTTGAATGCAAATTCTAAACCATTTCTAAATCAAGGTGTTATTGATGTGTGAAAACATGCAGATGTTTCAGGAGATTTTAAAGTGTATTTTCCTGCTCATCCTGTTTCCGCTAACTGAAATCTAATGCAGCAGTTCTTACATCTGTGTGTGTTCCTAGGTGGCCAGAATTCTGGAGGTCACGCCAGAGGTGCAAAGAATGATGGGCGTTACCTCCGGGATGGAGCTGCTCACGCTGCCACATGGACAACAGTTAAGACTAGACCTGCTGGAGAGGTGAATACTGTTCAACCAGTTCAGCTGTTCATTAGCGTGATAGAACGGTGTATATCTGACATGAGCCTTATTAGACTTTTGTCCACCAAGTTGGTTTTTAGTTATCGGCAAAGTTATCTACTAGCAAATGTTTTTACAAACTGGAACCATAAACTATAATGCTGCTAATTAAGTTAGTAGACTAGACTAGAGAGACCAACCTGGCTTTGTTACCAGGCTTTAAGACTTTCTGCTGTTAAGTGGGGCATTTATACACAGGAGTGTCACAACAGCAATGACATGGTGTGTTATTCCTAATTTATTCATAGTAATTTATAATTCTTTCCATCTTTTTTTTTAGCCTTCTTTTAACTGCGTGATTTATTTAGTCATATGTCTGCTTTCCCTTTCAATGTTGTCTTCCTATTCCTGCTGTTGGAAGTCTTGTTCTGACTTTAAGGACCTCTTTAAGCAAAGTGTGATCACTGTGTGGGCTGACATGACCTGATATAACATAACATTCCTGCAGGTTTCAAGCCATGTCGATTATGTTGGCTGTGCACGTGTTGGGCTGCACGGGGACGACTGAAGAACGAGCCTGCCTGCTTCACAAAATCATCCAAATCGCTGCTGAGCTCAAGAGCACAATGGGCAATATGTTTGGCTTCGCTGCAGTCATGAGAGCCTTGGAGCTTCCGCAGGTAAACATGCACTGCACGGAGCTTTGGTTATTTGTGTTCATGGAGATAGGGGAGGCACGCAGGAAACAGCCGGAAGAGCAAGGAATGTGTAACAAAGGTTGCCCGGGGTAAAGTTAAACGAGGGTATAGGTAAGAGATTAACAAATGTTCACTTAATGGCACAGCGTAGTACAATAAACATGAGGCTGTAACCCCTTGCCTACTGTGTATACTGCTATAAGGGGCGACTCGTTACAAGACGAGTTGGCAGTTCGTCTTGTAACCGAAAGGTTGCCGGTTCAATTCAATTCAATTCAATTTTATTTATATAGCGCCAAATCACAACAACAGTCGCCTCAAGGCGCTTCATAGATACAGAGAAAAACCCAACAATCATATGACCCCCTAGAGCAAGCACTTTGGCAACAATGGGAAGGAAAAACTCCCTTTTAACAGGAAGAAACCTCCGGCAGAACCAGGCTCAGGGAGGGGCGGGGCCATCTGCTGCGACCGGTTGGGGTGAGAGAAGGAAGACAGGATAAAAGACACGCTGTGGAAGAGAGACAGAGGTTAATAACAGATATGATTCAATGCAGAGAGGTCTGTTAATACATAGTGAGTGAGAAAGGTGACTGGAAAGGAAAAACTCAATGCATCATGGGAATCCCCGGCAGCCTACGTCTATTGCAGCGTAACTAAGGGAGGATTCAGGGTCACCTGGTCCAGCCCTAACTATATGCTTTAGCAAAAAGGAAAGTTTGAAGCCTAATCTTGAAAGCAGAGCTAGTGTCTGTCTCCCGAATCCAAACTGGAAGCTGGTTCCACAGAAGAGGGGCCTGAAAACTGAAGGCTCTGCCTCCCATTCTACTTGTAAATACTCCAGGAACAACAAGTAGGCCTGCAGAGCGAGAGCGAAGTGCTCTAATAGGGTGATATGGTACTACAAGGTCATTAAGATAAGATGGGGCCTGATTATTTAAGACCTTGTATGTGAGGAGCAGGATTTTGAATTCAATTCTGGATTTAACAGGAAGCCAATGAAGGGAAGCCAAAACAGGAGAAATATGCTCTCTCTTTCTAGTCCCTGTCAGGACTCTTGCTGCAGCATTTTGGATCAGCTGAAGGCTTTTCAGCGAGTTTTTTGGACATCCTGATAATAATGAATTACAGTCGTCCAGCCTGGAAGTAATAAATGCATGAACTAGTTTTTCAGCGTCACTCTGAGACAGGATATTTCTAACTTTAGAGATGTTGCGCAAATGGAAGAACGCAGTCTTACATATTTGTTTAATATGTGACAGTCCGAGCCCCGGCCCTTGGGCAAGACACTCCACCTACCGCCTACTGGTGATGGCCAGAGGGGCCGATGGCGCGATATGGCAGCCTCACTTCTGTCAGTCTGACCCAGGGCAGCTGTGGCTACAACTGTAGCTTGCCACCACCAGTGTGTGAATGTGAGAGTGAATGAATAGTGGAATTGTACAGCACTTTGAGGGCCCCGAAAAGTGCTATATAAATGCAATCCATTATTATTATTATTATTATTATTATTATTTTTATTATTATTATTACTGTGACTCAGCTTTAGTGAAGATGCTTAATTTCAGGAATAGCTGAGAGGCCCTCTGATATTTAATGTTATCGCTTACATGATTTAGCCTTCGGCCTTCTTTTGGGTTTCCCTGCCTCAAGGTGTCAGGCTGTAAAACGTCACAATTCTGATATCAGGATGCTTTATCACATCCTCAAACAAAAGGTGCAATGTCATTTATTGATAACTTATTAACCTTTCAGTGATTTTATTAACTCAAATGCAGAAAAGTTTCTTCATTTTATATTTTTTCTTAGTTATTATTAATATATATTTTTAACTTGGCCTGTCTTTTCTGGCAAAGTTTCTGTATATATTCAAAACTGTCTTTACATAAAAAAAGTCATTGCTTCTGAATATTTTTAGGAATCATATACATCTCAACTATATTTTCAGACTGAAAAAAATAAAGACAGGGACAATTTCTATTATAAGATTAGCTGTCAAACAATTGTGGGTTCAGCTGTGCAGGTAATACAAATAGTAAGACAAATTGAATAAAACAAATATATACAAAACAAGAGGAAGGCACAAAAGCAATAGTGTTGTTCTTCGGTCTTTCAGGTGTCCCGTCTGCAGGAGACTTGGATGGCGTTACGGCAGCGGCACACAGAAGGTGCCATTCTCTATGAAAAAACTCTCAGGCCATTTATGAAGAGCCTGAACGATGGAAGAGGTAGAGCGTCTCCTGAACTCGACACCACATGATAAAAGCATGGAGAAACAATTCCTGCTCATATCTTGGTGCTACACCATTGTTTCCACAACAAACATGATCTCTGTATCTGTCTTTCAACTCTCCAGAAAGCTGTCCGCTGTCCAACACCACTTTCCCCCACGTCCTCCCTCTTCTGACTCTGATGGAGAAGAATGCAGTGGTGGGTGAGGAGGGGACAGAACTGTGGGAAACGGTGGAAGTCGGGGTGGAAGTGGTCATGTTCCACCTTGGGGCGGCGAGAACCATTGCCCAGCTAGGGGGCATCTACCGCTCTAATGCTGAGAGCAAATTACAAGGTGAGAGAGCTTTGACGAAACAAAATGCAGTATGTCTGCTTTATAACATTAGCAAATGAAATACAAACCTTTAGAAAATTTAAACACGAAAGACCACAGGTCTTGGGACCTGCTGTATTTACTCTCCACACAGTTGCCATTCCACTGCAGGAACTCGGATCGCATGTTAGGTGCTGCAGCTTCTTGCTGTTCTTCATGTTGTTTCTAATGTGCTTTCACTTTTTTCCCTTTCTTTTTTTTAATACTGCTTTCCTCAAGTTTTAGCAGAAAAGTAGCCTAGCATTTCTTAGCAGCCACTTAAGCGTTGGTAGCCTAGAGCATGTTTTTTTTTTTTCTCAATCTGGAAAAAGGCCAACACACTGGTTCCAACCAGGTGGCAACCTGCAATAAAATATAATAAAGTGAGATTGAGGCATGCATGAAATGCATGCAAGTCAAACTACATTTGAAACCTTTTATTGAAGAGACTGGTACATGCTGCAGCATTAAATAATCTGATTATAAAAAATCATTAGGAAAAGTGCTATAATTTCCTAAATCCCATTCTAAGGTCATTCTTGATCTGATGGTTTATTTTAAGTTGAAGTTTATATTATTATTAATCAGTAATAAATAGCTTCACGCCTGGTAGGCCAAATGAACAACCCAAGGCTGTATAGTGAACTGCAAGAACTTCCTCTTTCACTTCTCCTGCAAATAAACTCTTCTTTTCTTCTTCTGCTCCTGATGGGGTCTCCATCCATCTCACCCTATGCCCATCATCCTCTGCTGTCACGCCAACTCTCTGCATGCCAAATCTTTTGTGTGGTCTTCTTCTCTTCCTCCTGCCTGGCAGCTCAACCTTCAGCATCCTTTGTCCATTACATCCACTATCCCTCCTCTACATGTCCAAATCATCTCAGTCTTGCCTCTCTAAGAAACCGCTCAACCCGGTCACTTCCAATGTCTTTGTCTTGTCTTTTTGTCAGGGGCACCGCCTCTAAACCATGCATCATAGCAGGTCTCACTTCCATGTAATAAAACTTCTCTTTGCTCTGGCTTCTGTCACACATCACCCCTCATGCCCATCCACACTCCCTCCACCCTGGCTTCACTCTCTTCTTCACCTTTCTTGTGCACTTTATGTCTATTCTGATAGTTGACCTCCGATATTTAAACTCTACCTTCATTACCTCTGCTCCTTGCAGCTTCCCTGTCCATCCCTCTTATTCACACACATATATTCTGTTCTTGTTCATGTTTGAGACAGGTCCAGTTACAGGGACCTCTGTGGTAGAAATGGTAGTCTCTGGTTCCTTTCTACACTCCTGTGCTGCTAATAATGTTAAACTGATGTGATGTTGCAGGTTTCCGGGAGCAGGCCGAAGTCCTGGAGCTTTTCCTGACTGATTTCCAGATGCGGCTGCTGTGGGGGAGCCGGGGGGCCGAGGAGCAACAGGCTCTGCGATACTCTAAGTTTGACCAGGTGCTCACCGCCCTGTCCAACAAGCTGGAGCCACCCATCAGACGACACTGACCCCAGCACTGTTTTTAGAGGCCTTGTTTATGAGCTCATGCCTACATACATGGACAATTACTGTGTTGGACACTGAGAAGCTCCACCACTGAAAGCTCATTAAAAGGGAAAGCGCTGTGATCTTTCAAACAAGGAGGCTTCTTAAGCGTGTAGACACCAGAACGAAGCAGTGCACCCACTTAGTTCAAATCTGTCACATGTAGCAGACCGGGATACTTGAAGAGTGAGACTGAAATTTTATAAATGCTTACCTTCCCATACCAGCACTTTTCCAGTTTCTTTTGAAGCTAAACTGATGTAACTCAAGGTTGAGGAACTTTGTCTGAAAGCTTCAGCAGAATGACGACAGTTTGTGAAAGAAACCACTAAATGCTTTGATGGAGTCTCCAGAGGGTGTTTTTATTTTTGACTGAGGACTTGCACTCCTTCAACAACGTCAGAGATCAACATTGTCCTGTGTTAGTTTACCTAACAAAGGACTGCATGTACTCCACAGTGGCACAGGGCGACATGATTTGGAAGTGTAAATATTTGGTGCCCTTTAGGTTACCGAGGCTGTGCCTCAGTCTGATAGGCTCATGTTTGTAAATATTTTAATCTCCCTAAAGGCTGGACCTTAGCTAAATCCACAAACATATGTCACATTGTAGAATGTAATAACAGAATAACTGTACATCTGTATTTCAGTTTTTGTTTAGTTTTTTGTATCTTTTCAGTAATTAGGATTTTATGATTTGAAGAGATTATTAAATGTAACCTGGGGTCAGTTCGTGTTTCCTCTTTGTTTCTTTTTCTTTTTATTATAACGATGTCACTTTTAATGTAAGGGGAGTGAACTGATCCTAACTGCACGAGTACGGCACACAGGTGCAGATCATTTTTGTAATCTTAAACAGTTTTACTTTTTATTTATCAAAAAGTGTAAATAAACGTTTATTTCACTGGAGGGTGTTTTATTGAACAAAAACAGTCATGCTTGTGAGCTAGCTGGCAACTCGAGCCGCGCTGCAGCATACACACTAACATGCCTCACTTTCCCCGGGCCATATAACAAAGCCAACCTCTACTTTTTGTGGTCTATTTAGCTGTAAATTTCCCCTCTCTGCCTTTGACATGTCGGTGCTGAAGCTTTTCTAAATCACTGCCCTACTGTTTCAATGCTTCCATCATTAAAGCTTTTACCTACAGGCTTGAGGGGGTTACCGATCACTCCCCAATGTCAGTCTGTGTGTGGCATATTTCTGTGGAGTGATGAACTTGAACATGCCAAACTCTTCCTGTATTCTTCTACTGTGGTGAATTTACATTTCAAAGTGAATCACCTGCTTCTAAACCCAGTTACAATCAGGAAAATGAAATTAACAAAACCACTTCAGATTTTTGACACTCATTAGTTAAACTGCAGGAAAAGACATAAAGACCTGGATGACCTGTAACTTTGCGATTCTAAATTCAGATAAAACTGAGGCTATTGTAATAGGACCTAAAGTCTAATATGATGAGAAATATGATATCTTACTCTGGATGGCATTACCTTGGCCTCCAGTAACACTGTGAGGAACCTTGGAATATGTAGGACTACTTACTACCATTTGCGTAATATCTCTAAAATACCTGTTTACTTGTAAACTTGTTATTAATTTCTGTCTCTCTTCCCAAGCATGCCTTTTGTCCTGTCTTCCTCCCCTCACCTCAATCGGTCACTGCAGATGACCCCGCCCCTCCCTGAGCCTGGTTCTGCCGGAGGTTTCTTCCTGTTAAAAGGGAGTTTTTCCTTCCCACTGTCGCTAAAGTGCTTGCTCATAGGGGGTCATATGATTGTTGGGGGTTTTCTCTGTATGTATTGTAGGGACTACCTTCCAATATAAAGTGCCTTGAGGCGACTGTTGTTGTGATTTGGCGCTGTATAAATAAAATTGTATTGAATTGAATTAAAAATTCATGATTTTTCTTACAGGGTAACATGTACATGAGTACAAAAAATATACAAACAAATCATGGAAATGCATCATTAAAAATGTGTCTGTGCCAAAACCCATATATATAAACCCAGGTAGAGAACACTGAACAAAAAGGTCAAGTTTTAAGTGAAGATTCTAAATCTAAAAACTTAAGCAAGGGGAGCAACAGAATAAATTAAAAGAGCTGCAGAAGACGGAACAGAAATGTGTAGAGATAACACATCACAAGAGAATGACAGGTCTATTTTTTACACTGTGAGCTGAACAGGGATGGGAAACAGGAGACAGCTGGAAGCAATGAAGACAATCAGTCAAAAAGTCTGAGTCAAGAAACTAGAAAAAATGATCAGAGTATAAAGGAAAACAACCCAACTACAAAGAACAGCAAGAAAACTCTCATTAAAAATGATACAGTGGAACACTGGTTAGGTGAAAAGAGTCCCTAGAGTGATAAACCAAAGACAGGAAGTCAAAACTTAAACACTAAAATGCTCAAAGCACATCCTGTGCTGAAACAGCACCAACATTCCTTGGTTGTTTCCCAAACCTCAAAAACATAAACCTGAGGAACTGAAGGTATACACCCAATTACCATTATTCAAGATGTTTTAAAATGTAACATTGCAAAATATTGTATTTTAGTTTGAAAAAAAAAAAGGTTTAATCATATGCATGAAGCTTAGGTCACTGTTAATAAAACTACAAAAACAGACATCTCACTGAGGTGCATATCTGAAGTGTGCTGTCCATGACAAAAGTGAAGGAAAAAAACCCTAAACAAACAAAATAAGTTATTTTATTTTTTTCTGGAACATAAGCAAGGACCCAGAATGTTATAACACATGACTCCATCAAAGATCATTTTCACATTAATAGCTCCCTCTGCTGTATGCAGGACACAACTTGGATTTATAGCTCTGGGTTTTTTTGTTTGTTTGTTTTTTGTTTTGACTTGCTAATAGAAGACCTTTCACAAACACAAACACATTTTATTTGCATTTTTCAAAAAAATCTACATGCATAATTACATAAAATGGATATTAAACATGTTTAAGAAATTACTGCGAATTGCATTTTTAAGTATGATATTTTAACCCAGATGGTTTGTCTCGCTTTCATTTGGAGCTACAACAACAAAGTTTTTTTTTAATATCCTGTTGTTTAAAGTTCCTAGAAAGTATGGAATCATACCAGGTAAATAAGTAAATAAATAAATAAACATCAAAGTGCTAAAAAATTAGGTTTCCCATTTAGGTTTATGAATATAAATTATTTAACCTATTACTTTACACCATGTTTCCTATTTTTACCCATGTTCTAAATGGTAAATGGTAAATGGCCTGCATTTGTATAGCGCTTTTCTAGTCCATAGGACCCCAAAGCGCTTTACACTACATTCAGTCATTCACCCATTCACACACACATTCACACACTAGTATGCAAGATTCTATTTATCTAGTAAAATTGAAGGCTACATTATGTATGTGGCCTTTCCGCACCTTCTGCTTCTGTTTCACTGTTACCTAAACGCCATATGGAATATCTGTGAATTAACTGGAAGTCTGGGGTTCAGGTTTGATGTTTCGACTAAAAACAAGAAAATTTGTAACTTGTTAGCAATAACCCTGTTAAACCTGGTGTCACAACTTTCTTTCAGACAAACAAACAAACAAACAAAAATCCTGATACCAGACCGTTTCGCCCTCTTATTCCCCATTCCAGTTAAAGTAAATGGTAGAACAGAAACTGCGTCTATCATGTCAGGCAGATTTCTAGTAAAGTTTGCCAAAGTCATGCGTTTTTCTGGACTGTGATCTTCCAACGTGTCCTACAATTCACGGTCCGTGCTGGATGCTCTCTGGGAATTGTAGTCCAGTTTGTCACTGAGCTACGTCTTTCTGGGCGCCTTCCGGGGAGGAAAAAACTACAAAATCAGCCGGTAGCGATAAGGAGAAGCTCCAAACTGAGCTTTTCTGTCTGCAAGCAGGCAGCCAAAATGTTGACGACACTGTTTGTGCTGTTTTTGTTCTTTTGTAACCCAGTCTGCTGCGTTTTCCAGAAACTTTACTGCACCATATCGGACAGCTGCGACTGTGACTTTAAGCCGAATATTAGAGGTGAGACGTACTTGTCGATGCTAACCTACGGAGGCGGCTTCGTGTTAGCAGCTAGCTTGTACCAAAACAAAGTGCAAACAGCTTGTTAATGAAACCGTACTTTATTGTTGCTGTATTATACTACATGTGTTTCCTATAAAAATTATATCCGCTAACTGTTTTTTTAGTGTACAGTGTTCCCGAGGAGGCAATTAAGGCTTTCATTGTAGCTTATTCCTGCTTTTCTAACTGGTATGCTAGCTGGCTGGATACAAGAAATCTCTTACAATATCTGTAATTAAATTAGCTAGTTGTCTACTTTGCAGGTTTTTCATGATAACAGCCACGAGAAGTAGAATTTTCCTGCTCTGTTTTGTTCCTGAAGCTTATTCCTATAACCCTTTATTGTGGTTATTACAGGGCACCCCACCCCTCTAGTATTGCACGAAGAAAGATTGTGACTGTCCTTTTTTTCTGATCGCCAGACCTGGAGTGGGACCTCTACAAGAATGTCTATGGACAGCATCTGGCTCAGGACATTGTGTCAGAAGAGGTGGGAAGGTTCCTTCATAATAAAAGCCCCAGTCAGCCACTGGTGCTGTCTTTCCACGGCTCCTCTGGGACGGGAAAGACGCTGGTCAGCTCTATGCTGGGAAATCATCTGTACGGCTCAGCCATGAGCAGCCCGTATGTCCACCAGTTTGTCCCCACGCTGCACTTCCCCTTGGCCCACCGAGTCAAGCAGTACAGGGTATGTTGAGAAAGACAAATGGTTATATCTAAAATCTGAAGTAATGTACTAGTCGTTTTATTGTGTGTTCAATATAAAATGTTTGTTGACCATAACAAAGGGAAGTTTGAATGCTGTCATTCCTAATGTGCAAACAGGACACTGCTTTCTTCTTAGGAACATACATTTAGAACTTACAAGAGAGTCCTGTGATTTTGCTCCCAATTTCAGGGAAGATGGGCTGGTCAAAACAAAAATGATCACACAAGTAGACACAAAAAAGATACTTGACTCATATGATCATTTTTGTTTTATGTTCAGCAGACTCTGTCTATAGACTTAACTAAGTGGGAACTAGTTGGTAATCATTTAATTATATACTAAAATTTCACAAGCGAGTGCTGCCTTTCAGACAACAGTATTTGCAGTTATACATGTTACACAGCCTATAATTAAGTAATAAAAGCAGAACAGCAGCAGACGTAATTAAAAGCATTGTTAGTTGCAGTCATAGGTGATGTGTTGGGAGCTTGTGAAATTAAATATCCATCCTTTGGTTTTGTAGGAGGAGCTGAAGGACTGGGTGCAGGGAAACCTGACGGAGTGCGCTCGCTCAGTTTTCATTTTTGATGAGATGGAGAAGATGCCTCCAGGCCTCATTGATGTCCTGGAGCCCTTTTTGGGTCCGTCTCATGTTGTATTTCGCACCAACTACCGCAAGGCGATATACCTCTTTATCAGGTACTTAACACTCCCCTAATCCAGTGAGGCATGTCCAGTGTTTAGCTTCCTAAAGCACCAAGAAGGATCTATATGACACTAATTCTGCGGATATGAACTCTCTCCAAAAGAAGTTCTTGTATTTTCTTTGTCAAAATAACTTAACGCTTTCATGAACGGTTAATGCTCAAAACTTTATTTCTCTCCCGGTGATGCTTAAAGAAGAAGGTTTTTTTTTTTTGGTTTTTTTTTATTACAAAGGGACAGGCAGCTTATTTTGTGTTTCCTGTGTGCAGCACTGCAGGAGAGGAGGTGATAAACAAAGTGGCTCTGGAGAACCGTCAGGCTGGACGAGAGAGAGAGGAGATCAAGTTGGACAACCTGCAGGAGGCCATCGCACAGGCAGTTTACAACAATAACACAAGTAAGACTCATTTTACATGTTTAAGTACTCCACACTCTTAGGGTAAGGCGGTTTCATCCCAAACCGCTTCAGAGTTTGATTAAAGTTCAGTATTTTCTGTGTATAGGATAGAATAAAACAGAATAGAATGGCCCTTGTCATTGTACATGTACAACGAAATTGTGGGAGTTCTCAGCTGATCAACTGAGAATTGAATAAAATATAAATAATAGTAAATATAGTAGAAATAACAAAAAGGAGAAATATAGACAAAAACAAGAGGAAGGCAAATATTAGAGAACAAGTTGCAAAGTGCTTGAGGTAGAAAAAGTAAAAGTAACAATAACCATGATAAAATATTAATGTTTTCTATTTACAGAGCACATAAAATGCTTTACAGATCAATACTTACGTTCAATAACATTTAAAGGGAGAAATAAATTAAAAAAGAAGTAACTGCAATCAAATTAAATGGGTCATAAACGCTTGGCCAGTAGGCTGTAGCCTCAGCACCAGATAACAGTCACATGAGAGCCTGGACAAAGACTCAGATTGTTGAGTAAAGGTTTCTTAGTTCAGATATGTAGCACAGAGAGAAGCCATGAAGGACCTTGAAATAGATCCTAAAATCAATTCCAAGTCATACTGTGAGCCATTATCAGGAGTTTTAGGGAAAGGTGTGATGTGATGACTTCTGTACAACCTGGATTTTCAGTTGGAGCAGGTGAAGATGTATGTTGAAAGTGTGAGAAGGTTAAGACATTTTAAATGCTGGTGTCAGGAGGTAAAATAGTTTTTTTTCATGTCAGTGTTCTCGCCTTGGTTTGTTCAAACACAGTGTTTTTTGTTTTTTTTTACTGCATGTTCACTAGAAGAGGAAGGAGGCAGTGATACTGATGCTTTGGTGCTCTTCCAGAGCTAAAACTGGTCTTCTGACTTTGATTCATTTAAGTTAATCATGAATATAAAATTAAAGCCCATAATAGAAGCAGCATCATCGCTCTGCAGCAGTGCATCATAATGAACACAGAAATTAAGCAGCCTCTTTGAGCTAATTTTCCAGTGCATTGCTGATGAAAGCTTTCATTACTTCAGTAACTGAAGTGAGTTTTTACCCCCCATTCAGGCGGCCTCTTCAAGTCCAACATCATTCAGCAGAAGCTCATCACCCGCTTTGTTCCCTTCCTGCCCCTGAGCCGATACCACGTCGAGCGCTGCGTGCACTCACAGCTCTGCCAGCGGGGCAGCTGCAGCCGCAATGACGTGGTGGAGGCAGTAGGGGGCGACATGAACTACACTCCAGCTAAGGGAAAGTACTTCTCCAACACTGGCTGTAAGACTGTCCCTGCCAAAATCAACTTTTTCCTGTGAGCTGAGGGGAACTGGGTTTAACTTTTAGGACTGAAAGGGAAAATCTGAGAAAGATGCTCACATGCAGGTCAGAGCACCATCTGGAGGCTAGGATGCCCTGGGAGCATGAAATCAAGGGGAGTGGAACTCCTGACTGTCCGGATTTGCAATCAGTGAGTGTCTCCATGAAGGTATAGTTGGCGTTTTCTGACTTTTTCAGGAGTCATGCCACACTCTACCTCAAACCCAGCTCTACCTTTTAATTTTTATATATTTTTGTTGGTATGTTGTGGTTTCAGGTTTCAAAGGCTTCAACTGGAAGTCATTAATTGATGTTTTCTTGTTTTTAGGCTCATTATTTATCTAGTCTTAATTTATTCTTTGTCAACACTGCCATCCCTTCATGGTCACAGTGATGAGGAATTGTCACAGGTGTCCAGAGCGGACTAAGCAGCTGGAGGTTCTTTGCTGAGTGAGCGAAGCGTTTGTTTTGTCTTCATTTCATTTTTCTAATATTTTTCCCAAAAGGGATCACACAAGATTGTTTTTATTTTGGGTAACATTTGTTAGCAATGGGAGTTTTGCTAAGTGTTGACTTTCGACGATCGTTATCCAAGTTTTTCACCTGGATGAAGCGACATATTTGGCTTGTGGCAAAGAGAGATTGACATGAAAGTACACGTCATCAGTCGGCTTATTAGAAAGTAGAATATATTTTAGGACTGAAAGATGTCACAGGATAAAGGAGCTCCTTTGCCAGATCATTTTAAAACAAATGAAAGAAGAAGAGATGAGTTTTACTTGGGGGGGGGGGGACCCAACTTGTGTGCTGCAGCCCTGCAGGCTCGATGCCATATTTTGGGAGCATGTGACCACTTCTGCCATCAGGTGGCAGTAAAGACTTTGTTTTAGACAAGTGTAACGGAGGTGAAGCTGAGTTCACCAAGAGCTCAGTGCATTTTAATTCACTTACTCCCATGTGAGTGAGTTCTGTAGTGCTTTTATTTTGTTTCATTGCTTTAAACTGTACTGTAAAGGCAGCAGGTAGGGATGTTTTTAGAACACTGAAAGTGCACTTTATGGAGTATTAAAAAGACCTGGTGTTCTTTGTCAATTATGAAATATTGCCAAAAGTTTGGATTGTTTACACCAAATTACTAATTATAAAGTATTAATTTTTTCTTGTAATAAATTGCGTGTTAAATGCAGTGAAGAACAAGGGTAACGGAGTTCACAGGATGAAGATGAAATTCTTATCATATCAGGGTGAAGGTTGACACACACAGAGGCTCGTGAAACTCAAGACAGCCGCAGGGATCAGCGTTCATTAGCTTTGCTTTCAGTACAGAAAAGTCTAATAGTCAAATCAAACGCCAGTTTTTTTTGATTGATTTTTACTTTTTCCACTCAGCTTTGCTGTGTTGCTATGGAGAAGGCAGACTCCAGGCTAAAACTCAGTCATGTTTTGTATGAAAATTTTTATGCCATCCATAATCGGCGACAGTTAGACTCCTCACACTACCATGGTTAATACAATCTCCACAACAAAACACTTTGGTTTTTGTCCTTGTTGTTTCTTCTGAGTTACACAAGTTTCAGGTCCAGCTTCTGAACATTCGTGACTGAAGCGATTGAGGTATTGTGCACCTTTTACTGCTACAATGTAAAGCAACAATAAAATGTAATGGCACAAGAAAGGTGTTCGGTGCCTTTTGTCCAGTATTTATTTATTAAAACAGGGAGATTTCTCTGTTTTCTTGCATTTTAATGGAAAATATTCTTTTTACTTCTGAGAATATCAACAAATATTTCTGGGACAACTTCACCAATTCCAAGGTGCATGGAGAAGATCAAACATCTGATGGCATGAAGACTCAGTTGATCCTGGTGAAGGCCACAAGCTGAACCGCGTTTGATCACCTAATAAAGTTGTTCCTATTACTTCTGTGAATATGACATGTAACTACAGCTTTATTTGTTTATTTATTTTTGATTCAGTTTTTTAACAATCACCACTCTGATTTCAAAGAAAGATGGTAAAGGGTCCAATTACTTTTTAACCCTTTGGGTGCTTTATGTTGAATCAGGCAACTGGTCACTGCAGGACTTCAGGCCTCAAGCGCCGGTGTCCTGCAGGTTTTAGAGCTCACCCTGGGTCAACACACCTGAATCCAATAATTACTTCGTTACCAGGCCTCTGGAAAACTTCAAGACATGTTGAGGAGGTAATTTAGCCATTTAAATCAGCTGTTTTGGATCAAGGCCCTGCAGGACACCGGCCCTTGAGGCCTGGCATTCCCCATTCTTTTGCTAAATTAATCTCCAGTTTCTTTTTTTTTTTTTTTTTTTTGCTTAACCAACTCGAAGTTACATTCATTCTTCTGTTTATCATTTATTGTGATTTATTTGCCACTGGAAACCCAAGTGCCCAGAGCGACTGAATCGAGAAGTTGTTTAACGTAAATACATTCGGAGTTCTGTGTTTCTCATTCTGAGATAATTATTCCTCCAATCATAATGACACTCGTACTGAAAATGCTTAGTTAGACCCCACAATCACAAAAAACTAAGACATTTGCTGCCACATTCATTGAAAAACTTTGAGGAGCAAGATCCCAAAAGGTTGATTTTGTTCATCCGGCCGTAGCATTGTCAGTGGGAGAAAACGCTACATCCAAGTGACTTCTTCAGTCTCAGCTGACTGCAGGAACAGAAACAACCTTTTGGGATTTACTTACCTGGATGATTGAGCATGCATCAAGACTTTGGGGGTCAAGACTGTGCATGAAAAAGCTGCTGTTAAATCTACTACACTGACGATGCTTTCTAAAGATAAGTCACTGTTATGTACGGTAATTACATATCCATAGTCTAAAAGTTGAAATATCAAGAGACTGAAAGACATCTGTAAAACCTGTAGTGAAGTCAATGTTCTTCACATAAAGCGGTTAACGACTACAACAACATGTTGTTCATTTAAAACTCATCCTTTCTCAACATCATCCAGCACTGAAAACTTTATAAAAGCCTGTTTTTCTGGTATTTTATTACAAATTGCTTCAAAAAGGGTGAAGCATGATTTTTTTTTTTTATCCACCTGTCCTTGATTGTGAATGACTGGAGCTGCTGTGTATCAGCTCTCTGTACGAGATGCGATGCTGATTAGATCTCTGAGAAAGACGTAGCTCTGATATCTCGTTGAGCAGGAAATTAATAGTTTCTCCATCGGAAATGAACAGGTGTCAGAGGTCTTCAGGAGGCTGTGTTTGTTCACTCTTTTCAGTCCGTGAAGCTACATTCTCACTTGTGTGGACATTTCTCTTAACTTACTTGACATTAGATCCAACTCATTTACGCATGACACCTCATTTTTACACTGAGTTGGCACAGTGGGGTGGTACTTAGCACCATCCTCTCACAGCAGGAAAGTCCTGGGTTTGAATCCTTTCTGTGTGGGTTCTCTCTGGTAAAGACACAGTTGGGGTTAAATTACATGGTGATTTTAAATTGGCTGTAGGTGTGAAAGTGTGAATGGTTCTTTGTTCTCTGTGTTAGCCCTGCGACAGACTGGGTACCTGTGCAGATCAAACCCCTCCTCTTGCCCTGTGAGAGCAGGGATAGGCTCCAGAATCATTACGCATCCAGCTGCATTCTTTAATTGCCAACAGGGGGCGATACCCGTGTTTGCAAAAACATCTTCAAGTCCCACAGAAGTCTAAGGAGAAACAGGTCTTGGACTGAAAAAACTTTGATGATGGTTCTTGGGCTAAATCACTCATTTTATCTCACATGGTTATCATTTTCAAGTTTCAGAAAGGAGAATTGTCCTGGGTATGCTCGTTAATTAACAATTTGAGATTCACAAGTCATTAGCTGGTAGATCTGTCCCTTGCTGTCACATCTGGTTTCAACACAACAGCGGCTCAAATGCACGAAGCCTCGAAACTAAAATTTAGCGATCAAATTCTGGACGTTTCACTGGAGAAACAAAAGGGAAGGCTGGTGCAAGATGGTCTTGAAATATGGGAAAGTATAAACTATTCAACAAATCACTGAATTTATAACTAACTCACATTATTTTATGTACAATTTGTGAAAAAGTTCTTGCATTGATTTCGATATAAATATTGGCAATACTTCACAGTCCCTAGACTAGATGTTCCTGTTCATGTTGAGGCTGAGATTCTCATCCACCTAACCTAGACAATTATACCTGATAAACATCATCACATCAGCTGATATTAGTATTTAGGTAAAAGCACCACCCCATCAGATTTCTTATCTACTCTCTATTGGGACACTGATATAAATAAAAAAAAACAATGCAATAATTTGCAAATCTCATAGATGCACATTTTAATCACAAAAAAAAATAATAGAAAATATATATTTCAAAAGAGCTAGTTTTGAGTTTGATGGCAGCAAGATGTCTCAAAAAAGTTGAGGCAGGGACAGCAAAATGCTGTAAAAAGTTGGTGTTACTTAAAGAAAACCGCTGGAGGAATATCGTGTATTTAACTGGTAACAGGTTAGGATAGATGGAGATTAGTAACATGATTTGGAATGATACGAGCAACTTAGAAAATCAAAGTTTCTCAAAAGTAAAGGCAGAGGCTCAGTAATCCATAAAAAATGTATCTACAAATTGTGGAACAATTTTAATGATCTTCAGTATAAAATATCTCATCACCTACAGTACATGATATCAAATTAGTCAGAGATTGTGTAATGGATAAAAGTTTGGAAACTAAATTGGATGCCTGTGATCTTATGGCCTGCAGGGCAACACTGGATTAAAAAACAGGCATGATGAAATCATTGCATGAGCTCAGGAACACTTCCACCAATCAGTGTCTGTGAACAGCTCATGGAGCCATCCACAATGCAGAGCAAAGCTCCATTACAGTGGGGCAAAAAAGTATTTAGTCAGCCACCGATTGTGCAAGTTCCCCCACTTAACATGATGACAGAGGTAAGTAATTTGCACCAGAGGTACACTTCAACTGTGAGAGACAGAATGTGAAAAAAAAATCCATGAATTCACATGGTAGGATTTGTAAAGAATTTATTCGTAAATTAGGGTGGAAAATAAGTATTTGGTCACCTCAAACAAGGAAGCTCTCTGGCTCTCACAGACCTGTAACGTCTTCTGTAAGAAGCTTTTCTGTCCCCCACTCGTTACCTGTATGAATGGCACCTGTTTGAACTCATCATCTGTATAAAAGACACCTGTCCACAGCCTCAAACAGTCAGACTCCAAACTCTGCCATGGCCAAGACCAAAGAGCTTTCGAAGGACACCAGGAAAAGTATTGTAGACCTGCACCAGACTGGGAAGAGTGAATCTACAATAGGCAAGTAGCTTGGTGTGAAAAAATCAACTGTGGGAGCAATCATCAGAAAATGGAAGACATACAAGACCACTGATAATCTCCCTCGATCTGGGGCTCCACGCAAGATCTCATCCCGTGGGGTCAAAATGATCATGAGAACGGTGAGCAAAGATCCCAGAACCACACGGGGGGACCTGGTGAATGACCTGCAGAGAGCTGGGACCAAAGTAACAAAGGTCACCATCAGTAACACACTACAACGGCAGGGAATCAAATCCCGCAGTGCCAGACGTGTTCCGCTGCTGAAGCCAGTGCATGTCCAGGCCCGTCTGAAGTTTGCCAGAGAGCACATGGATGATACAGCAGAGGATTGGGAGAATGTCATGTGGTCAGATGAAACCAAAGTAGAACTTTTTGGTATAAACTCAACTCGTCGTGTTTGGAGGAAGAAGAATACTGAGTTGCATCCCAAGAAC